CGAAAGCAGGACCCCAGCCTTCCACGATGCCCAAGCTCAAAAGTTGGAGAAATATACCCCTCCGTAGGCGCCAACTTTCCGTCTTTCCTCTGGGTGCTCGACTCCCGCTCAGAGCCCCAGCCCTGCCCCCACTCCAACCCTTCCATGGGGCCCCACCCCCATTCCAACCCCTTCCCCAAAACCCCGCCCTCGCCTCCTCCCCTGAGCGCGCCACATTCCCGCTCCTCCCGCTCCCTCCCGGATCTTGCTAACAGCTGTTTGGAAGTGGCCGGGCAGGAAACAATGGGAGGTAGGTAGAGGAGTGGGGACAAGGCGCACTCAGGGGAGGAGGAAAAGGTAGGGAGCGTGGAGCTTGGTTGCTGGTGGGTGCAGAGCACCTATGCACCCCTCTGGCAGAAACCTTGAGAGCTAAGGATTACCAGGTTCAGACACACGCACTGACCATCAGAGCCTTGGGCGCATGGGACACCAGTAACGAACGAGTGCTGAGAGAATGCGGAATATGTCAAGGTTCCTTCCCCACTCTGAACTCTAGGGTACAGATGTGGGGACCTGCATGGAAACTTCCTAAGCTAATTTTTACTAGCTGGGGTTAAAACTTCCCCAAGGTACAAACTATTTTCCTTTTTCCCTTGGACTTTATTGCTGCCATCACCAAGTGTCTAACAGATATATAACTGGGAAAGAGCCCACTTGGAAATGTCTTTCCCCCCAAAATCCTCCCCAAACCCTACACCCCCTTTCCTGGGGAAGGCTTGATAAAAATCCTCACCAATTTGCATAGGTGAACACAGACCCAAACCCTTGGATCTTAAGAACAATGAAAAAGCAATCAGGTTCTTAAAAGAAGAATTTTAATAGAAGAAAAAAGTAAAAGAATCACCTCTGTAAAATCAGGATGGTAAATACCTTACAGGGTAATCAGATTCAAAACACAGAAAATCCCTCTAGGCAAAACCTTAAGTTACAAAAAGACACAAAAACAGGAATATGCATTCCATTCAGCACAGTATCGGACACCATCAGGTGGTCGAGGGACATCTACCTAGAACACATCACCGTACATCGGCAATAACAGGAGGGATGAGCTAGTGTGCCGATGAGAAGCACAATCAGGAAAGTAACTCAAATACTTCCCTGATGGACTGTTTTTTCTAAATGGACAACCTACGTAATTCTCAAATACTGAGGGACAATCTCCAGTCATTGATACATTTTTCTTTCCACAACCAAATTTCTGTACAACTTTTCATGAATGATGTACACGAGTATTCGGATTCTAATATCTAAACTGTATTGTTAAATCTATTCACCTAAATCTGGGTTATTGCCGATTATGTACTCTACGTATCATATGACTTTTAAAAACAAACTTTGTGTTTGTGGATAATCTAAGCACTATACCCAGATGTACAGGCACTTTTCTCAACCTATGTATTATATAATTTTTTTAACATTAGCTTTAATAAAAGTTTTAAATTTGCTACAAGTGGGCAAAAGTCATTGAATTTAAACACAAACACCAATGATTAATGGTACAAGGCTCAAGAATCCAGAACAAGAGCCCTGCTTTAAGTCACAAACAATGGTGTGTGTAGAGGGATGTTGAAATTAAAAAAACCGAGAAGAACCAGAATCTGATTTAATCAAGTACTCAGTATGTGCACTTAGAGAACAAAGCACCAAATACCTCCATGGGCAAAAGAGAACAAGGTATATAATGTGACTCTTTTAAATGGGGCTAGCAATAATTTTTCAAGCCCAAAAGGTTCTTTTTCCAGAGGTTGAATAACAGCCTGAAACACAGGCTTCTTTGGAGACAGACTCCAAAGAATGGACCTTTTTGAGTCAGGAAAGCTCATCACATCATCAACCAAGTTAACTTAGAAAGCAAAAACTGAATGCTGGCACAAGATGCCAGACTGGGCTGCTGCTAAGATTCAAGTATTGTTTAGCCACAGAACCGGCAGAACCAGCATAGGTAGAATAAGTGCATGCCTCCTCCTATGGCTCAGCAACATACCTGCCAATGATCCTGGTTTGGCGGAAAGTCTCTCATTTTAGTCCCAAGGTTACCCTCATTCCACAAAAATTTGGTTTCCCCTCACTTTATTCTGGAAAATTACAGAATAGAGAACCGTGGAGCTGAGGTTACAGAGTTATTAACTCTACAGCAGCATTTCCCAAACTGTGTGTCGCAACTCCCAGAAAGGGTCGCAAAAGGGTGCCGGGGAGGGAGGGGGAGAGATTTTGAAAAAAGAGAGGAAAAAAAGAAAATGTAAGAAAGCCAGAATATGTCCCAGCTGAAGAGGCTCCCATTTTGCAGGGGTGGTTGGGCTCAAATCCCTGCTCCAGGTGTTACGGCTTGGCTCATGGCGCACGGACTCACAACGCCACTCACTCAAATTTGGCCCAGCCACTCCTCCATTAGAGGGAGCAGGCCAAACCTGTGTAGTGCTGTGACACAAACCCACACACCAGGGACCAGGCTGCAATGCCCAGAATGGGGACCCAAGCCCAGCCAGCCATGTGGGACAGGAGCTACCATTGCCAGGTGAGCACAGGGTGGGCTCGCTCTGCAAATTCCCTGCTCCCGCAGGGGCACAACCTGTTTTTCGAGTCTTTAATTTTCCAACCCCATCACCACCTCTCAGACCCCTCGCGGTAGTGTTATCTGACGCGAGGAGGTCACAGCATGAAAAAGTTTGGGAGCCATCGCTCCACAGAAGGAACCCATGTGGCTTTTTATGTTTCTTACATGGATAATTTTGTTGCATCCCTCATTTGTTTAAAGTTTCATCCTGTTTAAAGTTCAAGGCAGCTAAGCTCTTTGGGACAGTTTGTTCTGTGTTTGTACAGCACCTCACACAACAGGGTCTTGCTCTATGACTAGGGCTCCGAAGAGCTACAATAATACAAACAAACAATAATTATAAAAACAATAATACCATCTGTATGTGAATTTCATGGTGGGTTGTCCTGCCTATTTTATGACTAGATCATTTCTTTTTTACACGAAAACCAAGGCAAAGCTTTAAAACAATTAACAAAAACGGCTATTTTTTCTAATGATTAAAAGTGAAATCTGCACTCAGGCTTTTAATTTGTTTGTTAAGGCTGCAAAAAGAGACCTACCATTATTGTAGCACTAAAAAGGAAAGGTTTGGGCACTAATTAGTCTTTTAAAATAATTAATTAATTAATGTACGGTCCTTGGAAGATTCAGCACGTGCAGGTGCTACGCATTATTATTAAAAGAGCAGCTTACCAGATTCCCTCCTGCAGTTCTGCTGCCCTATTGCAGGCTGGGGCTGCTGTTTTGCACTGTCACACACACTAGCCACAGGATCCCATCTTGTGTGTCTTTCTAAACTGCACATGCCAACTGTATTTGGGAATTAAAGAAAATGTTGGATGCAGCTGTTTCAAAGCAAGCAGAGTTTTAGTGGGATACCAGCAGCACCTAAAAAAAGAACAGGAGGACTTGTGGCACCTTAGAGACTAACAAATTTATTTGAGCATAAGCTTTCGTGGGCTACAGCTCACTTCATCAGATACATATAATGGAACATATAGCCACTCCCAGTCTCTGTTCAAACTCCAAGTTAAAGGTATCTAGTTTGCATATTAATTCAAGCTCAGAGACTGGGAGTGGCTGGGTCATTACACAAACTGAATCTATTTCCCCACTGTTAAGTATCCTCACACCTTCTTGTCAACTGTCTAAATGGGCCATCTTGATTATCACTACAAAAGTTTTTTTCTCCTGCTGATAATAGCTCATCTTAATTAATTAGCTTCTTACTGTTGGCATGGCTACTTCCACCTTTTCATGTTTTCTGTAGGTGTGTCTATGTGTGTGTGTGTATATATATATATATATATCTTCTTACTATATGTTCCATGCTATGCATCTGATGAAGTTGGCTGTAGCCCCCGAAAGCTTATGCTCAAATGAATTGGTTAGTCTCTAAGGTGCCACAAGTCCTCCTGTTCATTTCGCGGATACAGACTAACAGGGCTGCTACTCTGAAACCTGTCAGCAGCAGTAACTAGCAGGTTGCAAACAGAGAGGGGGGGAAGAGACCCATTGCTTCCTTTACTTTACACACATATCCCTTCTGTCTCCTTTCCACAAGAGAGGAGGGGCCCTTCTCTAAACAAATGGGATGCAACACTGAGCCTCCAAAACGGTGCGGGGCTTGACAGTGAAGTGGGGGGGTGAGCGGTTGAATGGGAGGTTGCAGCGTGAACTGAGCGCACCCCAAAGAGCCAAGAATCGCTCCCATTCTTCGACCCGTTTCTGCTACACGCTAAATAAAACGCGACTCTTCCTACCCAGCGAGTCCCTAAAACGCAGCACAAGTGACAAGTTAACCCTTTCTTTTCCCCTTCTTCCGCAGTTAAAAGCGGGTCAGCATGAGCAAAATCACCCTCTCTTCACGTCCTCGCCGCAGTAAGATTGAAACACCCCCCCCGCAAGAGTCTCCTTAACCTTTTGCCCAGAGGGCGAGTGATTTTAGTTGCGGCCAGGCGAATAAAGTCTAATTCTTCCCCCCCGCCCCGCCGCCAGGCCCGGCCCGGCGTGGGGAGCCAGGGAGCAGAGCGGGGAAATTCGCAGGCGCGGCCGGGCTGGCTGCAGAACAATGAGAAGCGGCAGCCGCACGGTTAATCCCCAGCCGCCCGGCCCACACCATTAAAAAAAAACAACAAACCCCAGCTCCCAGGGAGCCGACTCCGGCACACTCAGGGGTGCAGGTTGCAAACTGCTGACTCGGGGGAGGGGAAGGGAGGGGGGGGACCGATCCGCTTGGCTCCCTGCTCGGGGGATGCAACCATGCAACGCCAGCGCCTGGAGCCACCAGGCGGGATCCCGGCCCATTGCAGCCAGGGGACCGCTCCGCTCCGCTCCGCCCGCCCCACACCCACACCCAAACTGGCAGAAACCTGTTCTGCCCGGACCAGCTCCAGCCGGCGGCAGCTGCACGAGCTTCTCGAACCTGGGACGCGCTCGCGCCACCGAGCCGGAGGATGCTGCCGCCGGGCTCGCGCCCGCCGGGGACCCGAGCGCGAGGAGGCGCTTCCAGGGTTTCCCCTCCCCGGGGGGGGAGCGGGGCAGCCGCGCTGCCAGAGGCGTGGGAGGGGGGGGGGGAGGGGAGACACCGAGCCCGGGCGGCGCGAGCAGCAGCTGCAGCCCCCCCCCCCCTGCTCCGACCCCTTTGCAACAGAGACCCCCCACCCCCTCCCCCACACACACTTACCCTTTGCAAGGGTGCAGTAAGCCGCTGGGGGCTGCGGCATGTTGTTTTTTCCCCCAGTTACTCCCCCCAAGCCACAGCCCCCCCGCCCCCCCCCCCGAACGCAAGCGGTAACTCCTCCGACCCAACTTCTTTCCCTGCTGCGCTCCTGCGGGCGGGCTGCTTGCTCGGCAGTCTGCGCCTTTGCTCGGCGTTGCATGGGTGCATGGTGATGAAATCACATTCTGTAGCATGTTACGGTGCAGACGGCTCCTCTTCTGGCATCAAATAACGACAGGTCTAGGACCGTGGCTTGGTGCCAGCCAGGAATCCTTCCAGATTTCTTTCTGGGGTCTAGGCAGTAAACCGGGAACGTTTGGCCACGTATCCCTGGAGCAGCCTCTGGAATCCAGCTTGAAGGATGCTGAAGGTTGAGTCCAGCAGCTGCCTGCACCCCGGTCGCAGTACGGTGAAATGCACGGCTGCCCCCCGCTCCCCGCACGTCTTCCCACCCGCAAGCAAGCCGGCGGGTCCCATTCCCAATCATAATGGCCTCATCGGTGCTATTGGAAGGAGCAGAAAAAACAGCCTTCCTTGCAGCCCCTCTTCTGGCGAGGCTGGTTTTGAAGGCCAGCAGAGTGCACGGCTGGCCAAACCACAGCCCTGCGTGCGGCTCGGCCTTGTTACCTTGGGCGGCCTCCCCGGGCACCGCGTCCGATGCTCCGGCGGGAGAGCATCCCCTGGCTCGTGCACGGGACGGGGGGCAGAAGGGCCATCACCACCCCGCGCCCCCAGTGAAGGGGGGACGCCCTCTCCCAGGTCTGGGCTAGTAGCTGAAGAGGAGTGGGGAAATGCAAAGGATCAAGGGTCTCTGGGTGTGGGGGGCAGAGCCTGGGGATTGTGAGGAGCGGCACCCCCCGGGGCGTTGGGGGAGGAAGAGGGACACCCCGGGGGCGTGCACCGCAGAGGCAGGACACCCGTTGGCTCTGGGCGGGGGAGGGGGGGGAAGAGTCAAGCTATCAGGGGAGGAGGGCCACCCCCTTGGGTGTGGGGTATTTGGGGGAGGGGAGGGTCACCCTGGGGTGACAGCGGCAGACCCAGGACGACGACGAAGGGCCACCCCCACCCCGCCCACGCACACTGACTCTGGGCGGCAGCCCCTCCCCCCCGGCCCCTCCTCCCCGGCGCGCACCCCCGCGCACCCCCCCCCTGCCTGCAGCGCACGCGGGGCTGGAGCGGCGGCGGCGGCCGCAAGCCGGGCCCGGCGCGCACATGGCGCTGCTGAGCTGCCGCGCGCGCCGGGTCCGCCGGCAGAGACCGGCTCGAGCCGGTCTATATAAAGCCGGGACGCGAGCGGAGGGGGGACAGCTGCCGCCGCCGCCGCCGCCCGGGCAGGAGCAGGGCCCCCGCCGCACGGGCACTCGGGCAGCCGGGCACGGGCGGGACCCGCCGGAGCAAGGCGCTGGGGGGCAGCCCGGCGCGGGGGGCTGGGAGCAGCCGGGCACAGACCCCCTAGCCCTGCTCAGTGGGGCTAGCGCCTCCCCCCCCCCTCTTCTCCAGCCACAGCCCTGCACCGGGGTCCCTGGCCGGCTGCCCGCCCCAGCCCCTTCCCCCCCTGCTCCAGCCAGCCCCCTCACCATGCTGCTGATGCGCCGCTGAGCTCGCCTGCACCCCGCTGTGGCTCGGGGGCGGGGGGGGTCCTGCCGCCTCCTCCTCCTCCCCCAGCAGCAGCAAACCTGGTAAGTGAGATTCATGCTTAAAAGTTTGTTGCCTTGTGCCCGTTTCCTTATGTCTGTACCTAGGAGCATCCGTGTGTCCAGGGAACAGCTGGCTGCCCTCTCCAGCGCTGCCGCCCGCGGTCACCGGGCTGCTTAAACCTTCAGAAAGTGATGCCGGACGTCTGCCCCCGCACTTCTTTTCCCTGCACCACTTAGGAACCACGAGGGGATGATGATTGATGATTTTGCACCCAGATAATTTTTGCCGTGGTCCTTCTTGATCGATAGATTTTTTTTTTTTTTTTTTGCTTTTAAAGGCACTTGCTTGGCTGTATATTTCAAAATTGCTTTTCTTTTAGTGTCTCTCGCTCATTTCTTCAGTTTTTTATGACATCTGGCGTGCCACAGATTTGCACACCGGTCTGTATCCCTAGGGCCCCCACTGCTGAAGGACCAAGAGTCTTTTAAAAAAAACTTTGAAGGAAGATTTGGACGCTAACGATCTGCTTTCTCCTGAGGTCAAGTTCCAAATCAGCAAAGGAGAGCCATAAAGCTAAGCACATGCTCAACCCCGTTCTTGGTCAACAAAGCATTGAAGTGTGTTTAAGTCTCCCTGAGGTCAGTGGGACATCAGCACAGGTTTAAATGCTGAATGGACGGGAACACCTCATCCAATGCTTTGTTGAATCAGGGTGCTGAGGTCCACTTTGGAGGGGGTCCTCCGTGCCTTTGGAAAACAGATGAAGCAGCATTGAGATCCGGAGCAGGGAGGGTTCTGCATGCTTTGGGAGGACACAATGTTGGTAAAATCTGCCGGGTGGATCTGAGATTCTGTTGAAGGGGGAAGACCAGCATGCCCGCATTCTCTCCACCGAGTGGCTAGACAGCAGAAGTTTGCCCTAAGTTATTAAGGTTCGTTTTCAGTTCCTGTTCCCAATCCCCATTTTACAGAAGGTTTAGGATGCTGCTGTTGTTTGATATAGTGCCCTCTGAGAACAAGTATCTTCAACCAGTTTTCTCTGGCTGGATTTAAATGAGAACAGCAGTATGATAGGAAAATATATACAGTAACTTTGTACAACACCTTTACAAAAACCAACAATATATCTGTTTCTTCAACACAGCATCAATGTGAAAGACACTTTCCACAAGAGATGTGCTATAGCATCTCTGAAATACATGATCCCTATAAGAGTTTCCCTAATTGTGAACTACTCTAGGCATTGACTGTCTTCTGTTCAGAAATCAAATAGCATATTAGGGCGACTGCTGGAAATACAGAATTATTAATTGCCATTTCTAGCTAGCTCTGAGGAATTTAGTCTTTGTGTGTATAGTCACTAAGTGTACTTATGGAGTTACAACATGTATGGATTTGACCCGTTGTGCTTAACCAAAGAAGGCAGGTCATTTTCTTTAAGTCACCAAGTCTTTCAGCACAAACCTGCCCTTCTGCAGTCTCTTCACCCAAGTAGGAAAAGTTAGAATTTGTGTAGACAACATGCCTCCTACCCCAGGCTTACTCTTCAGCTTCCATTAGTAAGTGTTATCCCTATGGGACTCGCTTCAAGTAGCAAAACTGTAAATTCTTAAGCATCGTTAAAAAACTAGATCTTGTAAATCGATTAGTGACTTGTATCAAATGCCCTGCAGCAGCTTTTGCCATCCTTTCCATAAGGAATCTTGAAGTGCATTTGAATATATCTAAGTGCATGTTCTGAATGAGTATTGACATGATAGAATGGAACAGCTTTTAATGAATAGACCCACAATCTAGCAAAGAGTATTCCATACATACAGATTTCTGTTACACTTAAAGGGTGTGTCAGTATCTCTGTTTGAAATTAAACCTTGAACTCTAAATTTAAGCTGAAATTAGCATACAAGACCTAACAGATACCTTGGGCTTTTCCCAAATAAATCTTTATGGATGCCTTCAAGCAACTCAGGTAGAAAATTGGGGAAGGAAAACATTATTGTGTAAAGATTTGGGGGGGGGGGGAGGAATAGCAGACCAGGGATAAAGCAACCAGCTGGGAATAGTTCAAGATCCAAGGTTAGGGTTAGTGTGTTGTAGCACCTAGAGGGTCCCATTGTTCTGAGCATTATACAGTAAGACGTACATAGTAAGAGAGTTCACATCCTAGAGAATTTACAATTTAATGCATTGTCTGTACTTAAGCTGTAAATTGACATAGCTTCATCGCTCCTAACCCCTGAGGTAGATGCAGCTAGGTCGGGGTGGGCAAACTTTTTTGGTCCGAGGGCCACATCTGGGTATGGAAATTGTACGGTGGGCCATGAATGCGCACAAAATTGGGGGTTGGGGTGTGGGTTCTGGGGTGGGGCTGGGGATGAGGGGTTGGGGGTGCAAGAGGATGCTCTGGGCTGGGACTAAGGAGTTCAAGGGCAGGAGGGGGATCAGGGCGGGGCAGGGGGTTGGGGCATGGGAGAGGGTCAGGGTGCAGGCTCCAGGCGGCACTTACCTCAAGCAGCTCCCAGAAGCACTAGCATGTCCCTCATCCGGCTCCTATGCGGAGGCGTGGCCAGGCAAGCTGCCCTGTCCGCCGGTTCCGCCCCTGCAGCTCCCATTGGCCATGGTTCCTGGCCAATTGCAGCTGCGGGGGCAGTGCTTGGGGCGGGGGCAGCGTGCAGAGCCCCCTGGCGCCTCTATGTATAGGAGCCAGAGAGGGGACATGCTGCTGCTTCCAGAAGCCGCGCAGAGTGGAAGAAGCCCCAGACTCCGCTCCCCCACGGGAGCTCAAGGGCCAGATTAAAACATCTGGAGAGCCGGATGCAGCCCTGGGCCGTAGTTTGCCCACCCCTGAGCTGGGTTGACAGAAGAATGCTTCCATCAACCTAGCTATCACTGGGGAGGTAGAGTTCCTACCGTGATGGAAAACCCCCATCCATCACTGTAGCATCCATCTACGCTATGGGGTTACAGAGGCATAGCTACGGTGCTGTAGCCTCCATAGTATAGACAAGTCCTAACCAGAAAAGACAGAGAAAGGGTGGGAGGGGAAATAAGCAGAGAGAGAGGTGACTTGCTCAAGGTCACACAGCAGGTGGGTGACAGGGCCGTCCCGCAGTGTAGATCATGATGTCTCTCATACCTCTCTGTCCAT